CTAAAAGCTGAGAGAGAAAGATCAGATTATCTACAGAGGAATGCAAATCAAATTGATATCAGATTTCTCAGCAGCATCATTAGGTTGCAAGAAGATAGTAATGCATTGTTTTTAATATGTTAAAAGAAAATTAACAAAAAGTTTTAAAAGACACAATATTTTGCCGCTGAGAATGTAGTTAATTTATGATAGGAGCACAAAATATTTCCCTTCTGGCAAGATCAGCTGTATAAATTAAGAGCCTTAACAATGTTCAAATTCTTTATCTAGGAATCTACATTCTAAAATGATAATCAGAAGTGCAATCACAAATGCAATAAGCCCTAGTGTGGTATTTTCAATAGCAAAAATTGTAACATTCCAAATATTCAAAATTAGGGGAAAAGTAACGAAATTATGGTTCAGCTATATGAATAAATATTTGCCATCATTAATACAGTGAAAAGACTAATGAAATAAGGAACATCACTTAGAACAGCAAACCAAAAATGTTCAAACAATAATGATGCTTTTTATCTCACTTAAGAATTTTGGAGGTAGAGAAAAAGCAGTTAGTTAACTCTGATAACAACTGCTTGCTGTAATCCAAAATTTATTCTTCTTCCTCTGAAAGAGAACGCTGATTAAATCTTAGGTGGGCTATGGCCAGCCCCCAAGCTACCACCTTTTGCAAACTCTATAAATACTAGTCAATGTGATATAAGCTGATGTGTCATACAACTTCCAAGATGTGTCAAAGTAAGGGCAGGGGGAAGTGCATTTCCCATTTACTGACTGGAATTCAGAAGTCATAACTGGAAATTAGGCAGCCATCTTAGTCTATGAGGAAGAAGCCACATCCTGAGAATGGCAGAGCAGCAAAATAGAAGGAATCAGGATCTCCAACACCAAGGAAAACCATATCTGCTCTGGAACACCTACTTCTAGATCATTTTTACATGAGAGAAAAATAAAATGCAATAAGATACTGTTGTGTCTTCTGATACACACATCTGAGCCTAATCCTAAAATCTCAGCTCTACCCTTAGAGTTCCTGATTCAGTAGGTCTGGGGATAGGGCCTTATAATTTCCATTTCTAACTGGTTCCCAGGTGATGTTAATGCAGCCGGGCAGGGGACCCTACTTGAAGAACCATTGCACTAATGGAGGTAATAACTTAGTGGTTTCAAGCTGTGCTTTATATTAGAATCATTGGAAGGGAGGAAGGCTTTAACACACACACACCCCTAAGGGTAAAACACACACACGCACACACACACACACACACACACACACCAGGGAAATTTCAGAACCACTGCACTAAAAGAGATAATAGCTTAGTGTTTTTCAAGCTATGCTTCACATTACGAAGAGAGAAAGGCTTTAAACACACACACACCCACACACTCCACCAAGGCTAATAGGCTAATTTCAGAAACTCTAACTGGTCTCGGCTGGGACAGATGATTCTAAGGTGTAGAAGGAATGCTGTAACTCTTTCCTGACTTACTGAAACAATAGTAATGTGAAGGAAATACTTGTGTTTCCCCACAGAGGAGGGTTGATATTTAGAAAGCAGCTCTTCATGGCCCAGAACTTGAAGACAAAAGACTGGATTTAAGTCCCTCATCTTAGCTATGAGGACCTAGAACAATGTAGCAGCTCCGGACCTTGGTTACATTATTTGCAAAATGGTGATGAAAATATTTACAACATTGGGTTTTTGTGTAGATTATATGATGTAGGTGAAAGTACATTATAAACTCAAATTATTACACAGAATAAGGGAGGCCCAGCTGATTTTTTATGGAGAATCTGAGTTAGTTTAGCCCTAGGACTGAACTGAATAAACAGAAAAAGTAGGAGAAAAACAGTAGAGAACATAAGAAATAACATAGGACTTATCTGTGACACCCTGCCGGAGGACAGGAATATATGGTAGGATCAGCCATACCTCCTGTGACAGGTGCTGCTCCCTTGTCCTTTTCTTGACTTATTATTGTGATTATATTTTCAACAGGTGTTCCTAGTCTGAAATAACTCCTCTAGGTGATATTCCTGGCCTGAGGCACACAGACCTTGTCTTTATAGAAGCAGGTGTTAAAAAATGGATATTCCAGCGATTAGGATCATTTTACTGCCATCATTAACCACGGCCTGAAATCTCCAGTCTCCGCAGTGGTTCCCAAGTGACTGTTTTATATTTAGGTGTTTGGTTGTGGATGTACGAGAGGTCAGAAACTGACCCTGACACTTGTACTTTCAAGATAAAGAACACCTCGCAAAGGGGAATTTAGATCAGGTCCCGAGGGCCTCAGGTGGTAGACTGAATTTGGACTTTATTCTGTAGCATGTATAAGTCACTGGTTTTAATCCCAGAAATGACAAAGTGTGGCACTCTGGGAGTATCAGCCAGGGGCCTGTGTGTAATGGATTAGACTAAGGTGAGGCTGAAATCCAGATGACCAGCATAGAGGTTACTGAGGTAATACTGCAACAGAGTAGAAGCAATAGAAGTTAACGGGAAATAATAAATGCAAGCAACAGAGTGGATGAAAATGAACATTTGGTCATTCATAACTGTCCATTTCTTTTGGTAAATACTGGTAGCCTTCAATAACTAAAGATTAACCAGAGATATCTTTCTCCTCCCTTGGTACTAGGTAGTGTCCTACAGTTAAAACAAGTCTCAGACTGAATGCTACTACACAAATATCTTAACAGCAAGCAGACACAAAAACACAGTACTTTGTGGCAAAATATTAAACAAAAGTCTAGACTAACAGCCATTCTGAAGGGTGTCAGTCTGCTACACTCAGCAGATTTCTACTCCACAGTTATGCAAAGAGGTGCTTGTATAATATTCTAGCCAGCCACATATCTTGAACATGTTGTTTCCACAATGAATTCTAACCCTTTATGCTAACTAAGGTACATCTAGTGCAGATTTACATGGTGATACTGGAAGCATCTGTGCATTCAACTCTGCAGTGAACATTTTTGATTAGTCTTTCAAATGCTAATTACCCACCCTGGACTGTGCAGATTAACTTCCAAACATATATACATCTCACTGAAGTATTCTAAAGTATAAAGACAAGATAACAAGCATCAAAAATGGTTTTAAAGTCATAAGGCAGAAAGTCCATGTTAGTGGAAGATGATGAAAAAGCACTGATTTAGTGAGCTGGTCTTAATGCTAAGCAATAGAATGCAGCTGTAGCTAATTTAAGAAGAAAATAAGTTTATTAGAGGATTCTAAGTAACTCAAAGGATTGCTGGTTACATGGCCAGAAACTATCTCTGGCTGTTACCGGTGGAGGGTGTCAAGGTTCTTGTCAACGTTCTTGGCATCTTGAACAGGGAACTGGAAAAAATGCACAAAGCAAGGAAGGAATGAAGCAACAAAAGCAGAGATTTATTGAAAATGAAAGTACACTCCACAGGGTATGAACAACCAAAGCAGGCTTAAGACCCTGACTGCCAGGTTACAGAATTTTGGGGGGTTTAAATACCCTCTAGAGGTTTCCCATTGGCCAGTTGGTGTACATCCCATGCAAATAAAGTAGTGGCCCACAGTCTGATAGCTGAAAACAACCAATCAGAGCCTGAAGGAAAGTTACAAAAGTTACACCCTATGCAAACATCTGACTGGTTGTGGAAAGCAACCAATCAGAGGTACTTTCAATTTTCTGTCTGCCACCCAGAAAAGGGTGGTGGGAGGGAGGACGCGGGTCCTTTTGTTACTTAGATGTGGAAAGTTGGGGCTTTCCTTTTGATTTACTTCTAGGAAGTCAGGATGAATCGGCCTTAGGGTCCTTGCTTCCAGACCCTATTCCCCTGCCTCATGGGTATAGTACAGAGTCTGTCACAGGCTACCCAGGAATATACAAAAAGACTGTAAACAGGCTACAGAACAGATTGGGAAAGGGCTCTGGGGTTGTGGCCCTCACCAAGCATAGGCATCCTGCATATCTGACGTTCACTACTGCCCCAGAAGCTTACCTTGCTATACTCCTACAGGTGACCTGGGAGTATAGCTTTCTGTACCTGCTTTTTTGACTCACTGGCTTTCCAGCTGGTACACATGATTGGTTAAACAAGCGTTCAGCATTTCAGCTGCAGCCATTAGACTCTTTTTTTTTTAACTTTTTTTTAAATTGCGTTTTAGGTTTTGGGGTACATTTGAAGAACATGCAAGATTGTTGCATAGGTACACACATGGCAGTGTGATTTGCTGCCTTCCTTCCCTTCACCTATATCTGGCATTTCTCCCCATGCTATCTCTCCCCACCTCCCCACCCCCCGTCCCTCCCACATTTCCCCCCAAGAGACCCCAGTGTGTAGTGCTCCTCTCCTTGTGTCCATGTGTTCTCATTGTTCAACATTAAGGTGGGGAATTCTCCAAATACGGAAGGGGATTCAAATGGGGAGCATAATAAATATGTGTAAATGTCCATTAAAGGCAAGTTGAATTGGAAGTGATGACAACATATTTGAGTAGAAACATCTAGCAGGTAGTTGGAAATGTGACACTGGTGTTCCCCAGAGAACTAGTTACAGATTTGGGAATTGAGTAGTGATTGCTTTAAGGATTAGGAGTCTAGAGAGAATCTAACTCAAAATTTTCATCTACATATGCAGAATCTCAATGAGAGTGGTTCAACGAAAACTAGGAAATTCACTCTACTATGGAAAATAGGAAAAATGTATAGATAATACATGCAAAACAAGTGGGAGGAGAGAACTAGGGATCGTAGAGCCTATTGCACATTTTTATTTTATAAATACTTAAGTGTCAACTATGTGTCAGGGACTATGCTAAGGTTATTTAATGTTGAGCTAAACTTGACATGTCCCTGCATTTGAGGAACTGAAAGGCTCTGAAGGCGGACCTAAGGAGCTTGGGGCTTAGCTGGTTACAAAGCCGTATATTATGCCATATATATTAAAGGGCAGCAACGCCTCCCGCAGTATTTACAGCCCAAGCGTGGCAGGCCTGTCTGTCCTGTTCCCGTTCGGTCCGGACCCAGGCTGTGGCCTAGATGCTTGATGGGCACTGTCAGCCTGATCTTTGATGCTCTTCCCGCTGTCTGTTCTTAGTCGCTGATTCCAGGTCCCAGGAGACGACGCTGGCTCAAGGAAGGCAGGCGCCTTAGGTGGGGCAGTTGACTCTCGCGCAGCGCCTTGCCCACCTGGGTGCGCGGCGGCGCGGCGGGTTTGGGCGGGGAAGGGGCCGGGCCTTGGTGAGGACGCGCGCCGCGCAGTTTGACCCCGGCGGCGTTCCGTACCGTCGCGGATTTCAGCGGCGGAAACATGGCGGCCGCGGCCGGGCCGGCAACGGAGAAACTTTCCACCGAGATTGGCCTGTATTAGCGCGTGTAGCCTCGGGTCCTCGTTCCCAAAGGCGTGCCGCTCCCTGTTCTCAGTCGCAAGCTCAAGCCTTGTCTGCCCTCCTTCTTTTTGGTTTGGTTTTGGAACTGACTCCGAGGGTTGGGAGAGCGTTGGTGGCGACGGCCAAGTCAGGTAGGGAGAAACGGGTGGACGGCAGGGCGGCGAGATCTGGGCACGGACACTGCCAGGGCACCGCCAGCTTGGTCCGGACCTCAAGCTCCGCCCAGCCGGCCTCCCAGGGCAGGGGTAGGATACCTGCCCCTGGAGGAGTTGACAGTGGAGGTTGGAGATTGGAGGGTGTGGGAGCGCCTCTCCGTATCTCGCCAGGGTTCCCCCCAACTGGACGCCACGTTGTGGTCGCGTTCTTCCTAAGTAGAGAACAGCCAAGCTCCTTGTTGGACCTCCCACATTTCACTAGAAGGAGGCCGAAAGGGAGAGAAATTGCTATGGCTGCTCAATAGCCCAGGATTTTAATATTCGAGATGCCATTTTCCTTGTATGAGATGGCCCAAAGAGTTATCAGTAACTCTGAACAGAAGCACTGCCATTCTCCGACTCTGTTTTTTCGGTGTAGTTCTTTCAGCATTGACACTTCTAGATGGGACAGAAAGTTTGAGTGAAAGATAATGCAAGTGATACAGTATGCCTCAAGCCATCCCCTAGAGGTAGGACGTGGAGAGAGAACTGGTTTGGAAGAATTTGAGTGAATTAAGACAGAGTAAAGCTGAAAGAGAAATCAAACATTCATGGAATCTCCCTTAGTTCTACTACTTATTAGCTGTGGGATATTAGCCAGGTTCTGTATTCTCTTTACGTATTAATAAATGTCCAATGGCGACCAGTTATTAAATGTAGTTATTTCTATATTAGTCTTTATTTTTCAACATTTATTTATTGAATGCCTACTTGATGCCGGAGTTTTGCTAGTCACTGGGTGTACAGTATCGAAGACAAACCTTCAGAGACGTTTTGATCTAGTGGGAAATGGCAGACATTGAATAAGTGATGGTATGTAACAGAGAAAGTACCGGGGTCATGTAATAAGGGAGCCAGAGGTAATCTCTTAAGGAAATGATTTATCTGAGACCTGAAGAGTTGGAGTAAGTCAGATGTGAGCACCGGGGTGGGGCCAGGAGGAGGGAAAGAGTGCACCTGACAAGGGAATAGCATTTGTGCAGTTTGTATTTGAAAGGTCAAGAAGGTTGGAAAACAAAGTGTGAGAGGAAGAGTGGTAACAGATAAGGCAGGAGAGTTATTCAGGCCCAACAAGGAGTGCCTTATAAGGCATTGTAAGTAGTTTTGGTTTTATCGCCAAGGGTGATGGAACAAACACCATTGGAACATTTTACATAGTGGAGTGCAAAAGTTTGGTTTTAAAAATACACTTCTTAGAAAAGGGCAAGAGTGGATACAGGGAGATGTTCAACATAATGGTGGCCCAAATTGGGATGGCAACCCTGGGGACAAGAAGTAGAAACACTTAAAAGATGTTTAGGAAGAAGAATACACAGGACTTGGTGAGGATTAAATGTAGATGATGACAGGAGGGTTAGAGTAGTATGTAGGGTTTTATGAAATACTCAGACTCTGGCAGTGATTAGTTAACTTTTCCCACATGCATACTGACGCTTCTATGCTCCATTTTAATCTACCTCTGGAGTAATTTTCCATTGAATCATTAGTGATGGCAAACCAATTGAAAAGGATTGTAATGTTTTTCTGTTATTCTCTAATTCAGGCTGTCTTTTAAAGAAGGTCAGGATGGGGAAAGACTTTGTAAATTAGCTGTTTGAAAACAATTATCTTCCATGTTGATTTTGGCCCGTAAGAAGGTAACTGCGTATATTGCATTATATGGATGCACTGGACTTTACTAATATATTTTTTTACATATTTACTTTTACTTTGTTTTCAAGTTTTTACCCCTGTTAACAGTGCAGAACAGAACTGGTGCTTATATTTCTATAGGTAGACTAATACCTGTGTGCAGTTAAGTAGACAGAGAATAATTGAAGACATAGAAATAAATGACATTGCTTAGAAAAAGCATATAGTGAGAGAAAAGCCTAGGGTTGGGTTGAACATCCAAAGGATGGGTTGAGAGTGAAGAGCCTTCAAGGAGACTGAGGAGGGGAAACCAATGAATTAGGAAAAAATCTGGAGACTTAGTCTTTGGATGCCCATGAAAAGGAATGGTTTGGAAGGTGAGAAAAGTCAACAGTGTAAGTTTGTTTAAAGAATATACAGGATAGGGCTGGGCGTGGTGACTCACGCCTATAATCCTAGCACTTTGGGAGGCAAAGGCTGGTGGATCACCTGAGGTCAGGAGTTTGAGAACAGCCTGACCAACATGGACAAACCCCATCTCTACTAAAAATCCAAAATAGTCTGGCATGGTGGTGCATTCCTGTAATCCCAGCTACTCAGGAGGCTGAGTCAGGAGAATTGCTTGAACCCAGGAAGCGGAGGTTGCGGTGAGCCAAGATCACACCATTGCACTCCAGCCTGGGCAACAAGGGTGAAACTCTGTTTCAAA